CCTTTCCCCAGATAGCGGGCTTTGTCTCCATCTCTTAGTTCCAGAGCTTCATAGATACCCGTGGAAGCCCCACTGGGCACAGCTGCTCGGAATCGGCCTGGAGCAGGAGGAATTGCAAGATCACAGGGATGGCTGGGTGCAGTGGCTCACACCTGTAATCCCAGCACTTTGGGAGGCCTAAGCAGGTGGATCACTTGAGGTCAGGAGTTCAAGACCAGCCTGGCCAACATGATGAAACCCTGTTTCACTAAAAATACAAAAATTAGCTGGGCATGATAGCACAGGCCTGTAATCCCAGCTACTCAGGAGGCTGAGGCCTGAGAATCGCTTGAACCTGGGAGGCAGAGGTTGCAGTGAGCCAAGAATGCACTACTGACTCCAGCCTGGGCGACAGAGTGAGACTCCATCTCAAAAAAAAAAAAAGGAGATCACAGGGAGTCCCGTCTACCCCTCAAAGGGCTGAGGTATCCTCTCTGAGCTCAGGGACAAGAGGCAGTGCAGAGAGAGACTCCTGCATCACCCAGCTTCTAGCTCTGGTGCTGGGTTGGAAGAAGAGAGTTTGGGAAGAAGTCTGAGAAAGGGAACCCCAAAGGAGAGGATACGACACAGAAATGAGGGTCAAAGGCCAAAGGGTTGGGGTGTTCTGAGGCAAGCTTATTCAATGGGCCTGGTGTTACCCTTGGCTGTGTGCAGGTCCACCTCCACTGTCGGGTTGCCCCTGGAGTCCAGGATTTCCCGAGCAAAGATTTTCTGCATGGCCATGGCTGCGGGGCAGGAGGTGTGAGTGTAGACAGTTGGTATCTTAAGGAATCAGAAATCCCTTGCCCTTTAAGAGTCTTCCCCACTCCAAGAAGGCAGGTGCTGGAACTAAAAATACCCTACAAAAAGGTCACAGACCAAAGAGGCAGGCGCAGCCCCCTCCCCCACTCAGAACAGCTCTCATTCCACCCTCTCATCCTAAGAATCCAGGGGCCTCTCCTCTATAACTCCTCAGATTCCACCACTCCCCAAGCCCCCACCTCTCCCACGGCTGCACTCCTGCCTTCTCCTTCCACCCTTCTGGTTGAACAGTCTGTTCTCCATGGCTGGTAGCCTTCAAATCCTTTCTGGTTCTCGTTTTCCTGCTCCCAAATCTTCGTGGGCCCACAATTCCCAGTTAGGTTCCAACTCTAACTGCCCTTCTTTATTCATCCCTGCTGCCCCTCCTCACAGCCTCCTTTTCCTAGATTCTTGGGTGCTCCCAGAGTTTGTCCCATCTGCTTACTCCAGCCACCCCTTCCCGCAGCTTTTTCTAGCACCCTGAATCCCAGGAGGAAAAAAGCAGAAATGTCCCCTGCTTCCTCCAAGCCAACACCATGCGCACCCTTTACTGCCTCCACCTCCTGGGGCTGGAAGATTCACCCAACCTGGGATGTCTTCGCTGGAGAGCTGGATGGAGCTCCGAGTCTAGGTGGCAGCTGGGACAGTGTCAGCTCACCCCCTCTCAGGCTGCAAATTTATCCCTGAGCCACCCTGTCCCCAGCCAGCCCCGCCTCTCTCTCCATCCTCCCCCCTTCACACTGGGCTGGCAGCCAAGTGCCCACTACAGCCTAAAGCAGAAGCTTCTGGCCCTGGGCACCTGCCCCCTTACCAAAGGTCAACTACTATCTCCCACTTTCTGCCCCCCAATAACAGTCCCTGCTTTTAATTCCACCCATCGGGAGGAGAAGGGGAGGTGCTTCAGATTAGGGGGTCCCCCCATCCCAGGATTACATTCCCCTTTTGCAAACGTCAAGAAGCATGAGTGACCTTTAGGAAAGGCCAGGGGTAACCTGAGCCTGTAGGGCTGGGGAGGGGGCCTGGAAGAGGGGCTGCAGGATTGACATTCACACATGCTCAGATCGCTGGGCGGGCCTCTGCCCTCAGTGGGGGAAGGAACGGGACTTCTGGGCAACTCTGAGGTCTAAAATTGAACCCCCACCCTACTCAGAAGGCGAGAGGGTCTCACCTCTCAGGGTCCTCATAACGGCCATTCTCGGCGCCGCCCCACCCTACCCTCTCCAGGCCAGCCAGCGCGGGGATGAGTTAAGGGCCAGGAGACGAATTTAGACGGGCCCTCTCTGCTGGCCTCGCGTCCGACAGATAACGCTGGGAAAGCACTTGTCGCCCGGCGTGGACTCTGTCATTCAGGAGCCCCTCTCCCCACCGACTGTGGGCGCTCAGCGCACGGTCCCAGCCCATCAATGAATGGGGTTAAATCGAGAGTGAACAAAAATGAATGGACCGAAGACCGGTGGCCCTTTGTGAACTTCTGCACGCCTGGGGTTCCTCCGGGACCCTGCTCGTAGCACTGCGGGGGTGGGTCTCTGCTGTCTGTAGAGCTCTTCACCTTGCCTGCTCTGGGGCCAGGGCGGGGTCCGCCCCGAGTTCCTCTGCAGCTTTGCCTGCCCAACTCGGAGGTTCTTCCCGCCGGCCCCCAGGTAGCCCGCGTGGGGTAACTCACCCCAGCCGCTCTCTCCCAACCCCGGCTCCCCGCCCCACTGGCCCGCGCGGCCTCCCAGCCCCCACCCCAGGCCACCTGCCGGGCCACCCGTCCCGTCTCTCCTCTCGCCCCGCCCCTCATCTCGGGCCGCTCCTCCCGGGATTTTTCTACCCCGGGGTAGGGGTGCGGCGGGCCAGGGGTCAGGAGATGGCGGGCGGGGAGCGCCGCCACGTGCCCGGGTGCGGCCCCGCCGGAGCCCGCCAGTGACTCAGCGGCGCGGCTGTCTAGGAACATGGGCTCGAGGGGCGTCGGGGACGGTGGGATCCGGAGTGAACGCCAGGGCTGCGCGCCGCGCTCGGGAGGATGAGAGAGAAAACCAAGTCCCTTTCCGCCCCGGCCGCGTTCCATGACCTGGCGCCCCTAGCCCAGGCACCGGAAGCTGCCTGGCCCTCGGCTGCGGGTTCGAGAGGGCTGCTTCACCACTGCCGCCTTACGGACGCCCCTCCCTTCCCAGGTGGCGGCAAGCGCACAACTGACTGCGAGGAAACCCAAAGGGCCCGAAGTGGAAGGGACTTTCCCCTTCTTGAAAAAGTTGCCATTCTTGCAACTTGAGTATTCTTCCGCCTTGAAAAATAGCCCCGCCTGTTAAGCCCCGCGGGTGTCCGCGTTCAATGACCTCTGCAGACCCAGGCCAAGGGGCACGGCCGGTGATCCAGACATTGCCTGCCCGGGACGGGCGGGGCTGGGACTTGGGGTGAGGCCCTGGACTACAGCCGATTCAGAGAAGGGACAATCCTGTGGACCGAGAATGGGCCCTGGTGAACCCAACCTGCACGACCCAGGCAGACGCTGGGTACAGAAGTGGCCCCGGTGGGTGCCTTCAGCGCTGAGAGCGACTAAGGGATTTGGCCAAACTCCCCTTTGCTTTCTTATTTCTTGAAGAAGTAAAATCAAGTGTCGTAAGGCGGCAGCGCGCACGCCTTTGCCCCCGCCCCTTCCGCCAGGCCGGAGACACGTCCCCAGCCCGCCTTCTTTGCCCGGAGGGTCCACATCGGTTGGGCCGGGCGCGCTCCCGTGCAGCCGGCTCCGGCCCCGACCGCCCCACGCGTTCTCCCTCCAGTCCCCGGCGCAGGCGCAGGCGCAGGCGCAGGCACACGCGGTGCCGCCGCCGCCGCCGCCGCCCGCCGGACCTTCCCTTCGGCGGAGGTGGGGGAAGGAGGAGTCATCCAGTTTAACCCTGGGCTCCCCGAACTCTCTTTAATTTGCTAAATTTGCAGCTTGCTAATTCTTCCTCCTTTCTCTTTCCTTCCTTCTTCTGGCTCACTCTCTGCCCCGATAGCAAAGTCTGGTTTATAGTCAATGCAAATTGGAGCGAACCCTACCCTTCACCTCTCTCCCGCCACCCCCCATCCTTCTACATCGCTTTCCATCGAACTCTGCAAATTTTGCAATAGGGGGAGGGATTTTTAAAATTGCCTTTGCAAAGTTCGGCTGTCTGGGTTGGCGAGTGGGGGAGGGAGGGAATGGGGAGTAGGCCCCGCCCCCACCGTCCTTTGCAAATAAAAATCTGGGGGGGGGAGGAGGAGCAGGAAGTGGCGGTGCGAGGGCTGCTGCACAGTGAGCAGAACCGCGGTCTGGACGGCAGCGTGTTCCCCGAGCTCTCCGCTTCTCCCCGCCAGCCAGCCGAGGCAGCTCGAACCCAGCCCGCAGTCCCAGAAGCAGCGCAGAGAGCAGCCCTAGTAGCAGCGCCATGGCCGGGTGGAACGCCTACATCGACAACCTCATGGCGGACGGGACCTGTCAGGACGCGGCCATCGTGGGCTACAAGGACTCGCCCTCCGTCTGGGCCGCCGTCCCTGGAAAAACCTTCGTCAACATCACGGTATTGCGAGGCCTGCGCGGTCCGGGGCACTGGTCGGGCTTGGACCTTAAGGGAGGGACTTGGATGGGGGCGGCCGCGGTCTAGGACGCGCAGCGAGAGGCCCTGATTGGGTGCTTGCCCTGGAAGCGACGCGAATGGCGGCTGCACGTGAGCGGGTCTCTCGGTTGCCCCTAAGTCCTACGCCCCAGGCAGCGGCGCCCATCCCGCCCGCTACCCTGCTTTCCGCGACGGGGCGTTACATCCGGGGCACAGGGCGGGGAGGGGCGCGGCGCCCGGTGCGGCGGCCCACTTCCGCCTCTCCCAGGGTGGGGCGGGCACGCGCCTTAATTTTAACTGGAGATTGAGATCGAGAGAGGCCCCGGGGACCCTCGGCCCCCCAGTTCCTCTTCCGGCCGCCAGCTCGCGCCTCTCTACCATTGTTCCCCCTGTTGCGGGAGGGAGCCCCAGGCGCGTGGTGTTGGTCCCCTGCCCATCCTCTGTGGGCTGGCAGCCCCTCCCCGCTCCGTTAGAGAGGGCGAGGCCACCACACGCCCCCCCAGCTCAGCACGTTGGACTCAACATTCCTGCGAGGCCAATCCCGGAAGTCCCCTCGCCCTCCCTTCCCGCCATCCGGCGGGGCCTGGAGCAGGGGAACTTTGTGAGAAGTTGTGAGACTGCATAAGCGAAAGAATATGGGTTGACTACCGCTGCTCCCACCACCATCTACCCTGTCCACACTGCCCGGAAGTGGGGAGGGGGAGCGGAAGTTCGAAAGGGGGGGAAGGGGGTTTCCGGGCGGGAGGGGACCGGATGTGGGGGCTTCGGGTGAAAGGGGGAGGGGGAAAAAGGTTCCTGGGGTACCTAGACCCGAGAGGTGGCCTGCTGGGTCTAGCCTCCATCCACCTTCAAAAGTTTTCCAACTTTCCCGGAAAGTCCCCAGGGGTCTGCTTCCTCATCTCAGAGCAGAGATACCTGGGGCTAAACTCTAGGTTACTTGGAGACCCAGGCGTCCGGGCCCTAACAGCTCCTGCAGAACCTTTGACCAAATAAGGGCAAAGTTGCTTCTCTTGCCTTGCCCGCCCCCCTCCCCTCCCCTCCCCGCTTCTGCTTTTCCTGAAGGAGAGTTCTGAGCATCCAAAGGCTCCTCACTTTTCTCACTGACTTTTGGCCCCTTTTATGTTCTGTATTTACTTTCCCTATTAACACCGAGGTCTAAATCTCGGTATGTCATCCTTTCCTCCCTGGTCCCATGTTCCAGGTTTGAGAATCATGATGTTTTTCTGGACTAATGTCCCACAGTCCTAAGAGTTTCTCCCATTTCATTGATGTGTACTGAGCATGTAACTTACACTTCTCCTGGGGTGGGGTGGGGGGTATTCTCACTCTCAGAAGTGGAAGGCAGATGGGTCTTTGGAGAACAAGGTGGGAATCTTGGTGCACTGACTAACCTGATGGGTGCTTGGTTCCTCTTCCAGCCAGCTGAGGTTGGTGTCCTGGTTGGCAAAGACCGGTCAAGTTTTTACGTGAATGGGCTGACACTTGGGGGCCAGAAATGTTCGGTTATCCGGGACTCACTGCTGCAGGATGGGGAATTTAGCATGGATCTTCGTACCAAGAGCACCGGTGGAGCCCCCACCTTCAATGTCACTGTCACCAAGACTGACAAGAGTGAGTTCCTGAGTCTTATCCTTCCTGTACTTCCAAGATCTCTAATGCAGCGCCTTCCGGTAATCGTTAGGGTGCTTTTTTGTGTGATTCCCCAACATGACGGGAGTCAGACCAGTGTTCTGCGTCCTGTCTGCTGGATGCTGGAACATGGGATAGTCCCTCCAGTACTATCTCAGTTCCTCATCTTGTAATTCGAAGTTCTTGAACTGCCATTACCTCTTAAATTCCTTCCTGCTTTGAGCTCAGATTAGAAACTTTTCTAGGAGTGTATGTAGATTGTTGGGGTCCTAAATCATCATTTGGCTCATCTCTTGATCTCTTTTGTTAGAACCTGGAGGTGGCATGCCCATCCACAGCCATTTCTAGCTTGAACCATCTATCAGCCTTTGACCCCTAAATTGTAGTCTGTTCCTTTCCAGCATTTAAGCTTGATTTTCCCCTTTTGAAAAGCCTTATTGTTTCAGGGTGACTGACAGCCTGCCTGTGTGTGTGGCGGGGGGGGGGGCGGTTTGGGAGAGATGAGGTTGGGTTACAGCCCCCAGGGCTGGACAGCTGCTGAACAGCTGGCAGGGGGTGGAATTGTGACACCTGGGTCCTAGCCTCCTTTCTCTTTCCTCCTCCTCCAGCGCTAGTCCTGCTGATGGGCAAAGAAGGTGTCCACGGTGGTTTGATCAACAAGAAATGTTATGAAATGGCCTCCCACCTTCGGCGTGCCCAGTACTGACCTCGTCTGTCCCTTCCCTTTCACTGCTCCCCACAGCTTTGCACCCTTTTTTTCCCCATACACACATACAACATTTTATTTTTGGGGCCATTACCCCACACCCCTTATTGCTGCCAAAACCACATGGGCTGGGGGCCAGGGCTGGATGGACAGACACCTCCCCCTACCCATACCCCTCCTGTGTGTGGTTGGAAAACTTTGTTTTTTGGGGTTTTTTGTTTTTTTGTTTTTTTTTTTTTTTTTTTCTGAATAAAAAAGATTCTACTAACAAGGTGCTGTATGATTTGAGCTCGGGTGTCAGAATGGGACAGGCACTGTGACTTGCCTCCTTTAAAAGTGGCTTGAGAGCAGGAAGGTTGAAGCACTACAAGGTGCAGGGATTTAAGCTTCTGGCTAGGTGGCCCTGCCCCTCCACAGTGGCATTTCCAGGCCTAAGTCCTGAGTGTGCTGGTCAAATTGGTGGATAATGGAATAGGGCCATCTGGATCAGAGAATGGGTCCAGGCCTGCAGGCAAGGCAGGGCCAGTTGAGTCATCCTTGTGGGTGGGGCTCCCCTTCTGAGTCATAGCAAATGCCTCTTGGGGCTGTCCCCATGATGATAGGTTAATGTCTCCCAGCATTGCCTTGCTCCTTACGGCTAAAGGGGTGATTCCCCCAAAGGGTTAAGTTCACCGGTGTGAGAATGATCTCACCCTTCCTTGGTCCACAAAAACAATTTTATTAACCCAAGAAGTGAAGACCCAGTCACTTTGCTTGTCCCAGCCCACCCCAAAGCCCCTCAAAAGGATAGGTCTGGTTAAGGAAGAAGCTTGGGATGGAAATGTCCCCTATCCCTCAACTTAGAAGACGAGGGAAGAAAACGTCTGTGCAAATAGGTCACCGGTGTGTGTGGTGGGGAGGATGGTTACTAGACCAGGATAACAGGTGAAGAGGAGGGAGGAGAGGGTGGGGGATCTGTTGAAGGCCCAGGAAAAACAAGGGGAGCTGGGGCTAGGGAACCAAAGGAAGTGGGAAGAGAGGGGCTGGAACCCAAAAGTGGGGTCCTTTCTGAGGCAGGGTGGTCCCTTGGCTCCCCTTCTTCATCACCCTCCTCTTGCCCCTGAGTTTCTTCCTCTTGCTCTTCATCCCCAGGACCCCGATGAACAGGCTGCTTGCAGATGGGGCAGGTCTTCCGGGTCTGAGTGAGCCAGGGGTCCACACAGCGGCTGTGGTAGGCTGCAGAAAGGAACAAGGTGAAACACCTAGAGGCTACCAGTGGCATAGGGGCACATGCAGACAGTGAGGGGGCCTCACCATGAGCACAAGGGAGTATCCGCAGCTTGTCCCCATCCTCATATTCGTCCAGGCATATGGCACAGACATCATACTGGTCTCCTGGGACAAAAAGAAAGAAATCTAGTCCTTCACTGAGCCATCATGAACCAGGGCCCTTAATTCCTTAAGGCTTTTAAAGCCTTGCAAAAATTTTCCCTTGCCTACAAAGCCAGTGGAAAGCTGACAGGTGGGCAGGATAAGGTCAGGGCAGAACATGGAAGGATTTGGGGCTAGAAGGGACAAACAAAAAGAAGCAGAGGTAAGAAGGGAAGTGGGTTTTTGGGGAGGTGTGAGGGTGGAGAGAGGGAGTGGAGGGAACGGAAATGGGCACGACTTCTGCCATAGCCTTATATGGGCACTGGAGGCCCTAGGGCCTAAAGCCCCAGCCCCTTGGTACCTGTTTCTTCTCTAACAGAATCCTCCCCATTTCTCCCATTTTTCTGCTCTCTCTACATCCCTTATAAGCAAAGGCTGTCCCTCTATTGTTTCCCCCAATTATTTCACTTAATCTTTGCTTGCCATCTCTTCTATTCAATCTCCTCTCCTGTCTTCATTGTGAGTAAAAAGAGAAGAAAAGATGGCATCTCAAGCTGAAACCTCCTCACTGCAATCTTTCTTTTTATTATTATTTTGAGACAGGGACTCCCTGTCACCCAGGCTGGAGCACAGTAGGGCAATCTCAGCTCCCTGCAACCTCCACCTTCCTGGTTCAAATGATTCTCCTGTCTCAGCCTCTCAAGTAGCGGGACTATAAGCGTACACCACACCCAGCCAATTTTTTTTTTTTTTTTTTTTTTAAAAGGGACATGGGTATTGCCATGTTGCACAGGCTGGCCTGGAACTGCTGGGGTCAAGGGATCCACCCACCTCAACCTCCTAAAGTGCTGGGATTTTTTTTGTTTCATCATGTTGCCCAGGCTTGTCTCAAACTCCTAGGCTCAAGTGATCTGCCCACCTCGGCCTCCCAAAGTGCTGGGATTACAGGCACTTAGGAATATGTGAGCCACTGTGCCCGGCCACTGCTATCTTTGTATACCCTATCTTCTGGGCTCAAAGTCCTTCAGAACCAGGTACACAGTAGGAAAAGCCCTTTTCTCCCCTAAGCCCCTCACCCTTCTGGTAGTCGTGTGTAGGAATCTGTTTCAGTTGGTCTTTGGTAAGTCGATTCCGCTGGAGCCGTTTCCTGTGCTGGATACAACGAACTATCTGGGGGAAGGGGGAGTGGATGGACAAGGCTTAGGAACAAAACTAGACAATCTAGGACAAACCATTCCCACCTCCCAACTCCAGATCCAGACTGGCCTCATAGGCCTCAGTGCTTCTCATCCTGTTCCCTCAGCTACTCACCATTACTGCTCCCATGGCCAAAACCAGCAGTCCCACAATCCCTGTGAAAGGGATGAGATAATAGCCCAAGGGGAAGGTATTGTCTGGAACCAGAAGCACCTGAGCCCTGGGGAAAGGATGATCAGTCTTAGCAGGGGGAGAAAGGCAAAGGGAGGAAAAAAAAGGGACAAAGTAACTGGCTATGTACAAAGCCCATGGGTGGAGAAGGGAATGGGAAGAAAGTCAGAGGCAGGGAAGGAAGGACAGGAGGCTGAATGGTTGAGGCAGTGAGGAGGCCTGGGCTCCAGGTTGGCATGGAACTGCTTGCTGAAGAAAGAATGGGAAGGAGACACATGTCCTACCCCTTCTCGTAGACAAAGAGGGCACGCAGGTACTCGGAGCTTCTCTCCCCAATAAATACAGATGGGATCCAGATCTGCTGCTGGATTTCCTCTGCAGGGATCAAGGTATTACTCTGGGGACTCAAGCTTCTACTCAAATCCTTTGGGAACTCTGGCATCTGCACTTTGGCCCCGCCCCACCTAAAGTATTGGCTTCTTTTCCTAAATCCTTCAGGCTTACCACCATCTTTGTCTGTGTCCTACTGAAAGCCCAGCTGTCTAGATTCCCTCAGCCTTACCACTATTCCACACCATGTTCAGGAGTTCATTGGAATTCACATTGTGTACTACAGCGGCACCATATCCAGCCTTCTGGGCATTTAGGACCTAGGGAGACAAGGCAGAGGACAAGGAGCCATCATGGGCCTTAGCTGTCTCCATTCCTGATGCCTTTTGTACCCTCAGCTGCCCAGCTCCCACTCCACATTCACAACCTTGAGGTCAAAGTTGCAGTCGTATCTTCGAAGCAGCGCAATAAAGACTGACCCATTGACTGGGGCTGGGGGTGGTGGGGCAATGGGGCTGCAAGCATTGTCTGGGTGAGCCTCCACAAGGAACCCCTACGGGATGGAAGCAAACAACAGTTAGATTTCTCCTCTAGGTTCTATAGCGCCTACACACCAAACACACCAGCCCCACGTGCTGCACATCCTCTATCCTCCCTTCCTTCTCACTCCTGGGGGCTAAGCATCCCACCCATACAATCTTTTTTAGCCTCCTGAAAAGGCGATGACATAACAACATCCCCTCACCGCTCCCATCGCCCTTCTCACTGTCCCAAATGGGTTAATCTGTACTCCATACTGAAAGCTAATGCAATTATTTTGTCTTCTAATATTTCGATTGTAATTTAATTATCTAACCACCCATGTCACTTTCTCTCAAGTTGTTTCACAGTCCTCTCACCAGCACATATTCATACAGAACACACTCCTCCCTTCAATTTTCTTTTTTTAGACGGAGTTTTTGCTCGTTGCCTAGGCTAGAGTGCAATGGTGTAATCTCGGCTCACCGCAACTTCCACCTTCTGGGTTCAAGCAATTCTCCTGCCTCAGCCTCTGGAGTAGCTGGGATTACACGCATGTGCCACCACGTCCGGCTGATTTTGTATTTTTAGTAGAGACAGGGTTTCTCCATGTTGGTCAGCCTGGTCTCGAACTCCTAACCTTACATGATCTGCCTGCCTCGGCCTCCCAAAGTGCTGGGATTACAGGTGTGAGCCGCCGTGCTCGCTTGTGTGTGTGTGTTTGTGAGATGGAGTCTCGTTCCATCGCCCAGTCTGGGGTGCAGTGGCACTCACTGCAACCGCCACCTCCCAGATTCAAGTGATTCTCCTGCCCCAGCCTCCCAAATAGCTGAGACTACAGGCACATGCCACCACGCCCGGCTAACTTTTGTATTTTGAGTAGAGACAGGGTTTCACCATGTTGGCCAGGCCGGTCTTGAACTGGGATTACAGACACAAGCCACCAAGCCCGGCCTCTTCAATTTTCTAATTAACCATCTCACAAACAACTCGATTGCTATCTATGGCCCAAATGAGTTCTTGCTATGTGGCAGTCTTTGGGATGATGTATTACAAAAATTGCTTATCTAATTTAATCTTCACAGTAACCCTAGGAAAACTTCCATTATCCCATTTTACAGTAAACCAAACTAAGGCTCAAAGAGAAATTAATTTGCCCAAGATCATATAACCAATAACAAGCTCCTGAGACTCTCCTGATAAGAATCTACTGGTCCTGCCTTTGTCCACTTTCAGTCTCCCTGACAAGCTCGGAGTTCCAGGGGTAGACACTTTGTCTTCTCCCGCTAGATTCTGGATTCCACACTAGACGTGCTCAGTTCCTAACTTGACTTTCCTACCTCCAGTTTCACCCAGGACAAACCTCCCCAACCCCAGCCCAGGATGGAAGATTTGCGAAATATGAAGGAAAAAAAAAAAAAATCACCTGGAGTCCCTCCTGGCTCAAGGTAGCCCCAAATAGAGCTGGGAGGTCTGCAAAGTCCATGCTGGCATTATGGTCCGAGGTCTGCGGACAAAAAGGCCATGTTCCCCCTCACTGCAAACCGTCCCTTCAGCGACCTTTCCCCATCCGTCCCTCGAACTCACCGCTCGAATGAGCCCCCGGATGGGAGCCGCTCCCCACAGCACAGCGGCCACAAGCACAGGAAGCGGGAAGGCTGCAGGGTGCATGGCAGCGCGAGGAGAGAGGCCAAGGAGGCCGCG